CCAGATACCAGCCGCCGGCCGCACCGCAGCTCGCGGTTGGCCGTCGACGCGAGGACAGTTTCGCGGCCCACCACCTAAACCGATAAATAACTTTAAATTATTATCAAAAGCATCATGGCCAGTTAATTCAGGATATTCCGCTAAATTTCTTCGGATCTGAAAAGTTTGCTCGCTATGAATTTGACTAGGTAGCTAATTAAGGAAATTCTTAAAAAAAATATATAAATGTAACAGGAAAATGTAATGAAAACTCAGAATTCACATATTCATAGAAAATATACAAGGTTACATACAAAATAAAGGTAAAGGTGTGTAATAAAACATTTCGCAATCGAACATAAAGATATTTATGTAGTTTAAATTTTATTAAACAAATAAAATATCACCCGCCTACAACAGACTTTTTCAAACGACAAATCGATTCGCTACGCCTCTCACGACTTTCAAAAAACTTACTTTCACATAACACGCAATATTAGATTAGTCATGCAAATTCCCACGAGCTCTCCAGTTGATTTATGTCAGGGATGGTATTGTACGGATTAATATGTCAGGATACTTCACGGATGTCGCGCTTTCGACATGGAAAAGTGGGCGGATATAGTTTCGTAATTATATTAACTAAATCCATAGCTCAAAATGTTACATCATGCCGTTTATTAATTTTAATGCAAATTTAATTTTAGAAGACAACTGATCAAATCTGAGTTATTGAGCTTATAGCGTTATTGGGTTTGACATGACAATGTTTTGGAATTATTATTGTCTTTTTAATAATAGATTCTTTATGTAGGCATTCTTTACTGCCGTTTGTATCTATTCATAGCTGCTATGATGATAATTAAACATCTTCACCATCATCATCGTCATTATCTATAATTCTCTCTTATTCTACTCCCGTAGAGTCGACGGATTTTCATCCTTTAGTTGTCTATCATCCGACATCTCAGGCATCACTACCTTCGTGGCAATATCATTTTTAGGTCTACCTTTAGCAGTAATCTAATGTACTAAAATTTATAATAACAAATCTAAACACCATATGTTCATAAACGGTTTAGATATTAGATCATTACAATTTGGATACAAATGTCGATTCATAGCGCACCGCACGGGAAGTATTTGTGTTAAGAGTTCAATTGCTTTTGTTTATTTATAGAGTCTGATGTTATCTGGCATGTTAATGACTACGTTAATTGGATTCCAACTGAAGAGTCAGCACAGCGCCTAATGAAACCTTACCGTTTCTGCTCTCTTAATGAATTTGATATTAATTGCTATATGGATGGAATGTTTTAATTAAATTAATAAACATTTTTAAAAAAATCATCAGCTGTTAAATTATTTAAGTATATTAAAATATCAGAGTATTTTACTAAAGTAAATAGACGATACATGTAAAAAACTTATAAACACAAAAATCCTTATGCGATCTTGTGATCGAATAAACAAAACGTAGCCAGACCGTTCTTGATGATAAAACATTGGCAAAGGCCCAACGCAATCATAGGTGGTTAGATCTAAAATATTTGAATATCATATCTCCATTTGTAACAAGAAATGTTAATCTCGTAACAAATGAATACATACTAGTATTAGACATTAACAGCGCACGTTTGACACATCTTTGACAAAACTATCGCACGACTGTTTTGTCGCGCTTTGATTCCTACGTGATTCTATGTACTCGACTTAGGGTGAGTTGCACCATATCGCCGGTTACCGTTAAAGTTAAAATT